TTTTTCTGCATTGCTAACAAAATAGTAACTCCCTCTCATCTCTACTTCTACAATTGATTGATTGATAGATATATTATTTGTCCTTTAAGATGGCTAGTGGGCAGTCTAGTAGTTTCCCGTGGTGTGAGACCGGGTTCCATTTTCGGTCGAGGCAAAAGTAGAGTTGTAGCTTTGCTTTAAAATCGTCTGTTTCTGTAGCAGCTCAGGCAGGCGGATGTCGCTAGTTATGGTGAAGGAATTACGTCATATTCACCACATGTCGCTCTCACAGCACAATGGGAATTTAACTAGGCGCAGGAACGGGGGACGCCGTTAGCTGGTCGTCAAAGTCAGACTATCGACCCAAAGTGTCAAATACACACATGCATTATTTTCTGTATCGGAGCGCGTCAACTGGCATATTATGATTGTTTGTCTCGCTCTTTATTTCCCGGGAGGGGCAGTGATACTCACTCGCTGAAATGTGAGATAATGTGCTGACACTTTCACTAGGGTATTTTTCTCCCCTCTATGAATCTCGTCCAACGGAGGCGACACCCCATCAGAGACAACCTCTGAACTCCCCATGTGGGTGTTAGTGTAGTGCATGTACGTGTGTTTATGTGTAAGGAAAGAGTAGAGGATAAGAATGATGAAGGAAGTATTACGCGTGATTCGTGGCTAGTTGGTTAAGGTCCGGCGCTCGCCTGGTATTGAGAGAAGAAACTATGGAAAGAAACTACGGATCAGGGCAATCAGCTGCTAGAATTCTCGTCCAGACAGCGCCTGAATTCGACCCAGCTAAAGCCAGTGTTGCACATCCGCCATCCTTGAACCTCTCGGTCACAAACTCTATAGTGGTGACAGTTATTGCCGTGAGCCGGTTGGGATTTCGAGATTGTCGGATTCATCTCTGACATTCCCCCATACCTCGTCGCCTCTCCATCTGGTGTCGTTCATTTGCTTGCCTCTTTCTTCATCTATTTGCTCTACTGCGAGCTTTATTCCTCGCTCGCCAGATTCTTCCCAAGGCTGCCGATCTGCCTGTTTGCTCCTCAAATTGCTTTCCTGAGTTTCTGTGACTTCTTTCCCGAATGATTGATCACTCGCCTGTGTGCTTGTCTGCTCTTCTTCTTGCTTTCCTCAATTATTCGTACTCCTCCAGCGTAGATACCTACTTCATCACCTGTTTACTTGCTTTGTTCTCTATCTGCTAGCTTCCCCTTGTTTTTCTTCATATTTGGTTGTCCTGAACAAATAGACGCAAGCTCTCTCGCTTGTCTGCCTAAGTAATTTTCTTCTCTGCTTCTCAGAGTTTTAACTTAAATTCTACATGCTTCATTGTGAGACTAACTGATAGAATTCCTCATCGATTCCCGTCTTTTTCGTTCTGAATTTGTGTTAATTTTTACCTCTTCAATTGGCGATTCTTTATCTGTCTGAATGTTTGCCTATTTATTTGATAGTTAACTTCTCCGCTTACCTGTCTTTTACTGTTATCTGACTGATGGTCTACTGAATTACCTTACTTACTCGCCTTTGTGTTGGCTCCATTGCGCTTTCTACTTACTAGTCCACTTGCCTGCTTGCCAGATCACGATAAATTCCTCATATTTCTTCTAAATTCCCCGCCAATCGGATTCATTCTCTTGGTAGGAAGCGAACCGGGCGCTGTATTCTGATCCCATCGTCCATGCGACTATTACTTGTGAGATCTCTGTCATTAGAGATCGCCCTTACAAAGATAGCAAGGTGCTACGAACGCGATTTCCAAGTAGGATAAAAATTATCTTTACCAGTTCACTTCGCACGCACGAGCGAGCGCTCTCCAGCTAACATGGTGCAGGGGGCCTAGAGAACGCCTCTGACGTCACCGCACCATAGGTCACTAAAAATCGCCGTGGAACCCAAGCTCTCAGCCTCGGCGCGGAGATTATTGAGAGTCTGGTGCGTTCACGTAGCGAAAGTGCAAAATACTCACGTATGTTTTACGCACTTGTTTTCTTTTTTATTACCTAAATATACAGCAAGACTGTTTTAACGTCTTGTCAGTGTTGAACGAATTGAATTGAATGGAATTGAATTGAATTAATGCCTTATTTTACGTGGCGAGACTCTGGCCATCAGGCCCGCTCTGGCCATGTGGTCCGTCGGACTCTGAAATTTCGCTACGCTCTTTTCACCAACTAGCTGATAGAGGAGGTATTTCTTGGGCGAGAAACAGGCGATTTGAATTTAGCTCAGAGGCGTCATTTAGGCTTGAGGATCTTTTACATTCAAGTAAATCTACTAACACGGCTTTACCTCCCCTCCGAAGGAAGGCGTAAGAAGGATTTTTTCACCCTTAACAATTAGCGGCGTCGATCGGGTTTGAAACCGCCAACATGCATGACAGTCCGATATGCTAACCGTTACACCATCGCCGCGCGCAAGAATGGACTCGGAAGAATTTCTGAAAAATCAAGTAATTTGGAAAACAAATCCAAAATTTTTAATTAAAAAGTTCGTTTAAATACCATCGTATCTATAATTAACTACTTCCAAGTGAGCGTAAATTTCCTTCTATATCCTTTAAGGTACGAATGAAGGGAATTACTGTTTGCCAGAGACTACTCCAGCGACGTTTTACATCACGTCTCCCATTCTCTAAAAATAAGGCCAAATACTGTTCTGGGAAACATGTACGTTTCAACATCTAAATTCCCTTCATTAAACTTAAACTTGAACTCAGTGTTTATCTGTTAATTGAC